TTTCTGCCATTTCTTCTTGTCTGCTGGGTTAGGGTTTCATTTGTTGTTGCTTTTCAAGTGTCTTGAGTTGCAATGTTAACTCATTTATTTGTGTTCTTTCCGATTTTTTGATGTAGGCATTTAGAGCTATAAACTTCCCTCTAAAGACGGCTTTCAGCGTCTTTTCATTTAATTCCAGGAATACTTTTATTTCTTTCTTAATTTCTCTTTTCCCCATTCACCATTTAGGAGTGTGTTGTTTAATTTCCATGTGTTCATGTGGTGATTAGGGCTTCTTCCGGTGTTGATTGTAAGGTTTATTGCATTGTGGTCTGATAGAATGCATGGAATTATTTCAATCTTTTTGTATTTGTTGAGGTTTGTTTTGTGCCATAGTATATGGTAGATTTGGGAGAAGGTTCCATGGGGTGCTGAGTAGAAAGTATGTCCTTTGTTTTGGAGAAGATTCCATGGGGCGCTGAATAGAAAGTGTGTCCTTTGGTGCTTGGGTAGAATACTTGGTAGGTGTCTGTTAGGTCCATTTGATATAAGGTATTGTTTTATTCATATGTCTCTCTGTTAACTCTCTGCCCTGTTGACCTATCTAATGGTGACTGTGGGGTATTGAAGTCCCCTACTGTTAATGAATTGGGACTGATCTGGATCTTAAAGTCCTGTAGTATTGTTTTTATGAAGTTGGGTGCACCAGAGTTTGGTGAATAGATGTTCATGATTGTAATATCTTCTTGGTGTATTGTTCCTTTGATCAGAATGAAGTGGCCTTCTCTATCTCTTCTGATTACTTTTTGATTAAAGTCTATTTTGTCATATATTAGAATTGCAACACCTGCTTTTTTCTTAGTACCATTCGCTTGGTATATTTTTTCCATCCTTTCACCTTAAGGTAGTGCTTGTCCTTGAAAGTGAGATGACTTTCTTGCAGACAACAAAAAGATGGGTTTTGTTTCTTAATCCATTCACCTAGTCTGTGTCTTTTGACTGGGGAATTCAATTCATTGAAATTTAAAGTTATTAATGAAAGATGTGTATTGAGTCCTGTCATTTTTAGTTCTGTTCACATTCTTGATATGGCTGTGTACTTCCACAGTTATACCTTCATTGAATTTCCACAACCCCTTGGGTATAGTCATTCCCTTCTTAAGCTCTTTGTATTGCTTCCAGAACTCCGTGAAGGGTTCATTTTGTGGACATGAATTCCTTCAGCCTATTTATGTAATGGAAGATTTTTCTTTCCCCTTCGACTATAATAGACATTTTAGCTGGGCATAGTAATCTGTGTTGGCATCTGTGGTCATTAAAACTGGAAATACTTTGGTCCAGGCTCTTCTGGCTTTCATAGTTTGCACTGAAAAGTCAGCTGTAATCCTAACGGGTTTTCCTTTATAC